AACAACAATAATACTTCAGGTTATTAAATTACTTCAAATGTCTAATATTTTTCAGCTAAACGGCACAATACCGAAAATTTCCCAACAAAAACCACACTCCCACGTCCATTTAATTCCACATAAAAATAGTAAAGTATTCTCTGTCCATTTAATACATCAAAGTTAGACGTTTAGAGAAAAATAACTCTAGCATATTTCCGCCTACTAACAGTTACAAAATATTAAAAACTCATATAAACTACTTATGTTTGTAATTTTAGTTTTATGTTTATAACGAAATACGAAATAACAATTTGTATGTGAAACTTCTCGAACAATATATTTTTTAATGATATTTATTAAAAATATTATATAGAGCGATATATTTTTATCTACGTAATATAGTGCCAAAGTTTCCCGAATACAATTTTTGACCACGCTGTATACTATAATAATTATTACCCTTAAACGGACACGTGTAGATTAAACATGTAATTTTCAAAAGATTCACTTTTGTGTTTAATTAGGCCTTGCTAGAGATCAAAATGAAACGCTTCGAGCTATAAATATATTAGACCATTTCAAATTACGTTCTGATATCAATTTTCGTACAATGTCATTATTGCGACCATTTGTCGGGCCCAGCAAAGCGTAGTTTGAGGTCTACATGATATTTTCTTTGTCTTTATAATTGCAATTCTACCTTTAAATCTTTTGAAGGTTTTAATTATATGATTTATTTCATATTTATATTTTAATCTAGATTTACATGTAATATATCTTTAGTGAAATATGTAATTTAATTTACTTTTGTAATTTGTAAAATGAATATTAGATACGAATATTAATATGAATATTATTCTATTGGATTAAGTTAGGTTGCTGGGGTTTGGGATCACGTTTGATCCACTCGGAGGCATTGAGCCCATTGCGATACCCCTGTTTTGTTGTACTAAACCTTCCTTTCATTCTTTCTTTGCGGTAAAGTACTTCCAGCTCTTTGCAAAGTTCCCGATATCGCTGATGTTGGCTTCTGCTGCTTCCTCTAGTTCCTCCAAAAAATGTTGTCCTAAAGTTTTAAAGCGTTGGTATTCCAGTGCCGGACAGTGGCACAGCAGGTGCTCTATGGTTTCTTCTTCCTCTCCGCAATGTCTGCAGTAGTCGTCGTTGGAAATCTTCCATCTTGCGAGGTTTACCCCCGTGAGGTAATTTCCAGTGATGACACCTACAATTATGCGTACTAGGTTATTTTTGTGCTCTAGTAGTTGTTTTGCCTTTTTTTGCCTATCTACCACTGGCCACAGTCTTCCAGCTGTAGCGCAGTCCTCACGGTGTTGCCACTTCTCTTGCTGCTTGGCCTTGATGGTAGTTCCTATAGCTTCTTTTAGTGTCTTAATCGTCACAAGTAGTGGGTCATCAGCCATGACCTCTCCCCTGGCGACCTCTTTGGCGAGTCTGTCTGCTTCCTAATCGCCCACCACACATTGCTGTGACCTGGTACCCAGCACAAAGTAGCCCCCCTCTGACGCAGCCAGGACAGTGCTCCTCGGCAGTCTATCACAGTTTTCGATCTCACTAATTGCATGGTGATGCTCCTCAAAGCGCCCATGCAGTCAGAGTATATCACGATATCCCTTATAGGTCTATTAGCGATTTTCTCTCGTATACAACTGGCCGCTTCCTTTATGGCGTAAACCTCTGCTTTTAGAACATTACAGCCATCCGATAGCCTTAAAGATTGTCGGATGTCTAGTTTCTCTGAGAAGATGCCTATACCTGTGCCTCCTGAAGTTACGGAAGCATCTGTGTAGACTGCTATCTCTTAAGTGTTCATTACTCGGTTGCTTTCCCATTCTACTCTTTTCGGGATGCAAATCCTTATTTTTTTTCCAAAATAAGGTTGGTGAGCATATATTCCGTTTTCTGGTCTAGCAAATGTGGACTCGTGTTCTCCATGATTATATTATTATATTAGTTTTTCCCGGAAAAATATTTTAAAAAATCTCTCATGTCCATAACAAATAACATAAAATAGGGAAAGAAAAAGAAGTCTTCTTTTTTTAATTTTCTTGGTTTGTTTCTCTTAATAGACTAACAGTAGTTTGCCAACATGCTTTCGTCCCAAAAACCTGTTAGGATATTGAATTGTATGTTTATTTTTTTAATTAAAGCTTACAGTTTTTGTTATGCAAAAATAACAGTCATTTTCGTGATTTAGGGGCCTCGCTCCATAGCATTGGTGATTCAAATTGGAAGTAATTCTTTTCTCCCTAGTAAGGTAAGTCCATTTCATAAGATTAAGCCTACAACTTTCACACATAAAAACATGGGGAATCCAGTTTTTATATTGATCGCACACTAAAAACCCAAATAATACAAATATTATGCTGCTTCGAGACATTCCGATACCGGTCTTCCTTATTTCGCGAATATAAATTGTCTATAAACGTAACAAAAACAGTCAGAATCTAATTTATACACTCATATTATACACATATTTTATCAAAAACAAACAACTCTAATTCAGAAGAAAATCAAACCCAACCAACTACAAGAAAACATGATTTAGATACAAAGTTGATAATGGGAATTAACAAAGTCGTTCAACTGTTCAGCAGTTACACTACAGCCTGTTTTAAAAGCATACTTCTCGGAGACTTGTAAATACGATTTTGCGGGAATGCGGTATACCTGGGCACTTTATACAAGAATATATAGTAGGTAGTAAGACAAATAATACGAGATCTAGCAATGTCTGGAAAACAAGTATTTTAAGAAAGCTGGCTCTTTGATATATCTTTTACTATGCTCTCTGGAACAGCGGGCAGGCCGTTTGGCAGCCGATAGACATTACGTTCACTACTGCGCATTGAAAGAAGTTCCTATATTTTTATTTAGTCCTTTAAATACTAAAATTAGGCACCCACATCTAATAACATATGGGGAATCATACCCTTATGAATTATGAAAACTAAATAATTATGAAAACTAAAGATAAACAAAACGGTTCTTCACTACGTTCGAACTATGCTCAAAAACATAAAGGAGAAATTTATATATAAAATTGAAATTCATATATAGGGGCGTCACCCTGTACCCTTCATTCTCCTCGGTTGATTATACGAAAACGGAAAGATGTAGAAACAAAATATTTTGTGGGTACCTATATGTAGGAAGGCAATGTACATAATTTAAAATTATTTTGAAATGTACAGGGTATGTCAGAACTAAGATCCACACCAAAGTTTAATTTTTTCTTATGGTACACCCGGTATTTTATTTCATTTTTGAATTATTGGACACAAAATAAGGCATTTATTATAAGGGTTTAATATGTTTACAAGCTTTGGTTTTTGAGATATTTAAAGATATTTAAATACGCATGCTATAATAAAAAAAAAGATCGTCAACACCCTGTACATTGCTTTTCGGAATTAATTCTTGTTCTGACTTTTAAGCCAGAGGAATAAACTTTACTGATAATTTTAATTGCTTCGTTTAATGTATACAGGGGTATCAAAAATTGCTGGTCTATTTTAGAAATGTATTTTACATAAACCCCTAAATAACACCCTGTATTTTTTAAACCATCACTGCAAGTTTCTAGTGACAGTTAATAGCTATTTTCAAAATCGAGATTAGTTTATGGACTTTAATCAAACTTATAGCAGTTTACATTTATTTAATACAATAGTTTAATAAATAATATTTATTAAATATATTATATTTATTATTCTAACAAGAAAACCGAAGAAGTAGTTCTTTGATTTATTTTACGATGACTTGTATCTACAATCTCCATATATCTATATGGATTTTCTATAAAAGAGCCAATTAGGGCAAATCCATTTTCTTCACTTTCAATGATAGGTTTCTGCCTAATAGGTTTTTTTATAAACCACATTAGGTACCAGCCCTGCAAAATAGGATAAATAGTTTTTCAAAGAAACGCTTATCAGGAAAATTCCTATTTGGTTATTTTTGAGCATAAGCCATTGAGGCCAAGAAACAATTTTTCTCACAATTAAAATAACTAGTAACATATCCATTCGTTCCGCCAGCAGATACTGTTTTATTTTTTATTGGTAAAATAATGAAATAATAATGTCCATAAACTAATGTCGATTTTGAAAATAGTTATTAACTGTCTCTTGAAAACTGCCGGGGCGACACCAGCCATCTTGATTGCCATTTTATTGAAACATAGCTTTTTATTCAAAATATGAGCTAGATAGGTATAGAAAACCCTAATAAAGTTTGAAAGAGCAATTGAATCTACTTTGATTTATGTTAAGAAATATGGGGTATTTAAAATAGATCAGCAATTTTTAGTACCCCTGTATAAATTAAAGGAAACAATAAAATTTTTCAGTTAAGTTTATTTCTTTACCTTTAAACTCAGCACAGGAATTAATTCTAAAAGAGAATATACAAGGTGTTGATAACCTATTCTATTGTAGCATGCATATTTACAAATTTTTAAATATCTCAAAAACCAAAGATTTTAAACATATTTAACCTATATAATAAATGCCTTTTTTGGGTCCAAGAATCCAAAAATGAAATAAAATACCGGGCGTTCCATAAGAAAAAAATATAACTTTGATATGGATCTTAGTTCTGAAGCACCATGTATATTTCAAAATAATTTTAAATTGTGCACATTGCATTCCCACATTTACCATAAAATATTTTGTTTCTATATCTTTCCGTTTGCGTATAATCAACCGAGGCGAATGAGGTGCTCCACCCTGTATAAGTAATGTAGTAAAAATTTAATGGTGGGCATTTATGGAGACTATCATACTTGTAAATATCATTATATTATAAACCTTAAACAACCTCTACACTATGCTAGAAATGTTTCACGAAATATTTCTGGAAATATTTCGAGACACATTTCGCGAAACATTTCTGGAAATACTTTCAGAAGTACACTCAATGCTTTTCTTATGTTGCGGGGAAGATATGAAATAGCGAAAATGATACAGCTTGTACAATGTCTAACATTAACGTTTTACCTGTAGCTCATGATATCAGAAGTTCAACATCAAGACGAATTACTCTCTTGCTGAATGCTACTTGTGCCATCCGAAAGTCGTTCTTCTAGTTGTTGTCGGGATCCATGCAAGAACTTAAATCTGGATGCTGGAGTGTCCGCAGTTGTCACCACTGTCTCACTGGAATGACGCATTTTGCGATTGCTGAAACGAAAGTAGCCCTTTAGACGTTCCTTTGACGATCTGGAAATAAATACCAATTGTTGTATAAATACAAAAATTAAAATTATAATAACATAATTTGATATTATTCATTTCCACGTTAAATATACAGGGTGTCTTAGAAATAAGTGCAAGTATTTTAACTGGTACAGTTAAAATACAGTTCAACCCCAGAAACACGCCTATGAGTTTTTTTTCGCGAAAGAAAAAATTAATACAGTTCAACCCCAGAAACACGCCTATGAGTTTTTTTTCGCGAAAAAAAAAATTTAAAAATTCAAAAATTTTTGAATTTTTTTTTATTTTTTAGTCAAAAAACATAATTTCTTGATAATATGGCAACATAGGCATTAGATTAAATTTACAAGAAAGAAAATCCAGAAAAGATCCAATGGTTCTGAAAATGTTTGTAAAAAATGATTTTTTTTGGAAATTTTCAAAGTAAAATAACTCCGTTATTTTGGACTTTTTGAAAAACGATAAAGAGAAAATATGTTTCTTATATCGAGATCTACCACCTCTTAAAATTCTTGCACTTATTTCTGGGACACCCTGTATAATCTTGTTCCAGCTATTTGACAGGTAGTATTGTAGCCAAATGATCAGATTTTTAGAAATTGTTAGTGATGAAATCATTGGAGGACTACTACAGCAAAACTTTAAAATTATTTTTAAAAGGTATAGAGTAGTACAAATAAATAAAAAATATAAAAGTACATTTTTAGTTCCTACGATTAAAAGAAAGATAAATTTGATTAAGGTTTACCGCACTTTAATCTTACCGTTTCTGAAATATTACGGTTATTTTTTTTTATTATACGATTTTCTAAAAATGCAGTTTAATGCGTCATTTCTCTATGCATATTTAAGTTTTTAAAATCAAATGTTGTACTGAAGTTTTTCTATTTACTAAATATTATTTGTTTCAATGATAAAACTAAGGCTACATTATATAGAAAATATATAGAGTTCCACCGGATATCCGCAAAAAAAGTTACGCATCAAAGTTGTTTTTTGTAATACCCTATATATTGAAAGAAAAATTTCTAGAAAAAATAAAGGTGAGTTTCATTAAAGAATCAGATGTCTAAAATGTAAGGATTTTGACATATTTAACTTATTGTGAAAATGCAGAATACAATTTAAATTTCAATAACGGCTGCCTAAATTGTAATTTACCCTGTATAGCCTGATATTTAATTACAATAACTATTGTATGTTAAACCAAATTAAAATTTGACACCAAAAGTTACGTTAAAAGAATACAGAGTGAGACAAAATTAATAATGAACATTGGCCACTTTTAAAAGTAAGTTACCCCTTTATTTTAAATGGGATACCCGGTATGATGGGAATGAATGGAAAAAAGCATATATCTTTAAAATACTATTAAGGTTGCCTGCCCCTCAGATAAAGATTTTCCTACATATTTTCATTTTTATTATTTTGCGTCAGTAGATTTTTATTACTGGATAAAATCTAGGCGGCTATGATACATCTTTTGTTAATTTAATAAAAGTTAAAGGATATGTAGTAAAATACTCAATGATACTAAAAAGATACACGTTTAAAACATATTATAATTATTACAGAATTAAAACTAGATATAAGAGTAGGTATAACTATGACAAAAATTATTTAGACGAAATCAAATGCTAAGTATGTTTCCTGTCCTGTTCAGGACATAAAATGATTCCCTTTTTAAATCAACTTTTCATATTAAAAAATATTATGTGGAATTCTACTCCTAAAATCAGTCACAATAGTTAAACAATAGTTAGTCAAGTTTTGTAAACACTGTTTTTAACACATCCCAATAAAGAAAGTCAAGACTAGATAAATGAGGAACATTTAAGGTATTCTATTAATTGGTAAACTGCACACTGTTTCCTTTTTTGGCAAATTAATTATAATCCGTTACAAAAAAACATAACTTTTGTGTAACTTTTTTTGGAGATACCCTGTAGAACTCTGTATATTTTTAAAGAATGCCATAAATTAGCCTACATATGCTCACAAAATTTTATTTCAATACAAACTGTATGTACCGTTCTCTTTATAGTCTTCGCGTCATATAAAAGGCGCCACTCTGTATATACAAAAAAACTAAATTCCTTATATTTATTCTCCCTGGAAACATATTTAAATTAATCATGTGTTAACGACGACAAGGAAAAAATACAGTATTTTTTTATATAATATCATTACTTGTTTACCAAAATAACTTTTTTAATTTCCTCAAAAAGTATATTTCAATTTTCGTTCATGTCTAGTGCCTGAGACCAATTATATTTTTCTCAAATATTATGTCGTAAATCTTTGAAATATTTGCATTAATGAGACTTTTTATATAAAAAAGTTAAAGAATAAAAGTTCGTTTATTTCTTATTTTTAATAAGACCTAAAGCTTATAAATCCGATATCCCCGAAATATATTATTTTATACAAGCACGAACAAGGAGGAGACTGCTTTGATTAAAACTTTGTGAGGGAGGGTCTTATTAAATTTGTAAACATTTGCAATAAAGCTGATTTTCTGTGGTAACTTTGTTTTGAGCTCATTCAACTAATAAAGAAACAAAAATATCAAAATATATTTTTTTTAATTTCTACTCTATTGTTGATGAAGCTGCTGGGCTAGGAAAGTACAATTTATTTATAAGACTTAAAGAATCTTCTAAACTAATATAATTATATTACGTGTGAGATAAAAATCCCATTTTTGTATAAAAGTGCATTAAAATCATGCACTTGTTAAAGAATATATTTATTTATTTAATTCTAGATTTTTCTCAGTTCTTGGAGAAAGTCCAATATTATCCTTGTTATCGAAAATAGGATAAAGTTTTTTTACAGATGTTGTGGTTTATAAAGGTACATATCCTAAATATATTTTGTTGCATAGAGGGTAAAAAGGTATGATAAAGTTTATTTACTTAAACTTTGGTTAAAAACACTATATCGGAAGAGTGGTTAAAAACTGTGAGTTTAATTTTTTTAGTACTTAGTTATACTTAAAACCAAGGATAAACCAGAAGAACCAGAACAGAATAAACCCGCGAAGAAAAATTTGCATTATCTAATACAGGATAATTTTTATGGTGTCACCCACATTGCAATATTTAAATTGCTATATCTCAAATTTTTTAAAAACACCCTGTATATCAATTTTCTTTAAGGTGCAGAATTATAAGTTGAATATTTTTTTGTATTTGTAGTATTCCTAAATTAACGGCAACGGCCTAACTACGTTGAAACACCGATTCCCATTAGAACACCGAAATTAAGCGACGTAAGGCGATACTGGTGGATGGACGGGTGACCGGTTCGAAACTCTGTATCGTGCTGTTGTCCAAGGGAAAAGTGTAAAATCTATTGATACATACTGCTCATTGACGCCGGTTTAAGGCCGGATGAGATCGGATATCTCGTGAGTAAAAGTTGATTTAGATACTTCCGGTCGGTAGGCCATTAACCATGATATGGCCGAAGACCGCGGTTCGGATTCCGCGTGAATAAAGTAGGCGCCGTCCAGATTAGCCCTGGCAGCAAAAAGGAGACGTTAACTGAAATCTTTATTTTACTTTACTTTATTCCTAAATTTTTAATGGTTTTGCAGATATTCGTGGTATTATGTTACATATGGCTCTTACAACAGTAAATTTTTATCAAAGCTACCTAATATGATCTTTGTCTAGTATTATACTGTTGAAAGCCCCATATGATACTATAATACAGCGAATATCTGAAAAACCGCTAAAAATTTGGGAATACTTCAAATACAAAAAGTTTTCATTATTTAAGTCTGCATCTAAATGAAAAAATAATATACAGGGCGTTACGTTTAAAAAAATAGAGATATAGCATTTTAAACAATCCTATTTTGGTGACTCCATAAAAAAATACACTGCATAGGATAAATGTATTTTTTTCTTGTTGGATTTATTCTGTTATCCTTAGTGCTTAGAAAATTAATGCTAAGATAAAATGATATAAGAATGTTTGCCACTGAATTGCTGATATAGAAATTTAATTCCACGCAGTGTTTGTCATAATGTGGTTCAATCTACTCTCACTACCGGTTTCGGAGCCCTACTCCATCATCAGGTGAGCTTGGGTCGATCCCACAAAATGACAAACACAGCGCAGACTACCTTAATTCCGACTTGTCGGAAAGTATCGGTTAGATATTATTAAATCCCGAACGGGAGATAGCGGCCTCTGTCCAATAGTAGTACTTTCGTACCACCGAGGTGCAACTATCAGATGGCAAAAAGGCTTTTTTTTTCAGGCAAGCCAAATTATAAAATGCAAAAACAAATTTCTTGCAGTATAGGTATATAATAAAATTATATAAGAATTCTTGCCACTTAACTGCTGATATAGAAATTTAATTCCACGCTGTGTTTGCTACCGACAGGTATTCTAATTTTATTATATACCTATACTGCAAGAAATTTGTTTTTCCATTAATGCTAAGTATTAATACAGTTATATTCACTCCAGTTGTTAACCGCTTTTCGGATATAGTGCTTTTAACCAACATATATACATATTATAATGTTGTATGCAGAATTTTATGCTGAATCCCACTCTCTATAGAAAAATGAGGGTTGTAATTTAAAAAACACCCTTCATTTTTCTATTAAAATTACCCCTATACTACCTCCCATATTTTCATTTAAAAAGACACCCTGTATACAACAAAACATTTTTAGGATATGCGTCATTATAAACCATGCGATAATTGTATTAAACATTTTTTGAACAAAACAACGACAATATTGAATTTCCTCGCACTAATGGTCCACCCTGTATGGTATACAATATTAAAAAAATATACTCGTATGCAATATAAAATATGACTTACCGACTCATTTGCCAAAATGCAAACATTGGAGGAGTCAAACAAGTAGGCAAAAATGCCAGCCAAACAAATAGAACGTATGTATAGTCGAAATGGCTGCTGTTTTCATATGTTTCCACTAGTGCCAATCTGTAAAATAAATTTTTAAGATAAGCTATTAAGAACATTCCGTAATACCAAACAATGAACATTTAAAAATAATATAAATGTTTTGCCTACGACCATTGTGTAAATCACACAAAAATATCCAATCTACGCCTACGATAAAAACGATATTCAACACATTTTGGAACGAATTTGGAGAATTTCGTAATTTATATATACACAGTGAAATCAAAATGTTGTCAAGATTTAGTTAGAGCCCTCGCAGACTATTAAAATAAAGTTACTGTATTGTTGAGTAAAGTATAGGCTTGGTGCATTCTCCGCCGGTGCTGCCACCATCAGGATATTATAAACAGCGGACTAAACAAATACACGGGTTTAAATAGCGAATACACGAAAATTTTTTATATAATTATTCTAAAAGTCTTAGGAAGTAGAATTTATGAAAGTTCTAAAAATAAAAAACTAAATATTTTGATACGTACAGAAGGTCTAAATTTGAATTTATTATTATATATAGCTAATAAAAATTTTAAGATGAGTTCAACTACAGAAGCGAGCATAATTTTACGCACCAGTTTTGCTAGTGGGGATATAAATGGGGCTATATCGGCTATAACGAAATTTTTAAAGGTATATAATTATAATTTTGGAAGATGTACATAAAAAATGTAAGCACTAGTATTAAAAAAAGTTGTAAATTATACCATCCTGGCAAGTAAAACCTTGGGTCGGCGTTTACATGTATAGAAGTGACTCGCTATAGAAATCTAATAAGTCGTAGAGAGTAAAAATACGAAGTGGGAAAATACTTGTCTTCTATCTTTATTCAGTACATCTTATTTTACTAAGCGTGTTTACCGTACTTTTTAACGACCCTAATATTTTCCGGCAATTTTATTAACATACGAAATTGTCACAACGAGTCGCCCAGTTCGGGTTCTTTTTCAATTAATTTTTACTACCCAAAACAGCGTTACATCACACAAACCTCGTACCGAGTGATTTATATACTCTGTTTCTTTTTCAGGTAAGATTTCGACAGACGATGACAGAAGAAAAGCAGATGACGTCCCATACCAATCTACTATTTATTTTACTAAAAAAGTTTCTAATATTTTTACTATGGATGGATTTAAATATAAATCCGTCATGCGTCGTCTCTTGTTGTTTTTAACCAGTTTTATTGGGTTACTTCAAAAATGACATATCATATATCAATTTTATTGGTTTTACGGAAAGATAAACGACAAACGGACGCCGATACGTATGAACACTCGCCTTTAGATTTTTGAGACTTGTCAAATTCTTGCCAAATTATAGGTTATAATTTTGTGTCAACTGAAACTTATGTCAAATATCTGCATTTTGGAAGATGATGCGTTTTGATTCGTGTTATTATCATGTATGTTGTGTCTTTTGAAGTCAAGTGGAGGAAATATCGAGAGAAAATTAACTGTAGACCCAGGGAACAGTTTATAGTTAATACTCGCTGCCCAGGCACAAAGTCTTATACACCAATAAAGTTACCATCAATAAAGTTTGTATACCATCTCGTCGTAGATAAGTGCATCTCGTATATGCTACAAGGATCGTACTAAACATATACCATTGGAGTAGCTGTAAAATATTGACATCACACGATAGGTAAATAATGGATTTTAGTACTGCAGAAAAATAATGTCAAAAGGTACTGGTTTAAAAAAATTAAGATTAAAGTTAATTAATCAACGTGTTATTTAACAAAGTGTTATTATTAATAAAATAGTTTGTTTTATTTATTCCTGTGGAATATTACGAATTTGTATTTGTACATACAGTACGTCTGTCCGTTCTGTAGCTACGGGGTATCCGTGAGAGGGGAATCGATATTCTCTCGATGTTTTTCGTAAAAAATTAGACGACGCGTCCCATCAATAAAAATTCGACAAATTTGCAAGTGGCTAATAAAATGAGTGGGCGGAGCGATTTGCGGTGACGTACTCGTCAAGTCGACGTATAAAATATATTGCTGTTTATTTAAATATTTTTTGTCCGCATTCCTTTCGTAGACACAGATCCAGCAGACGTACTGTAAGTTATATTGATAAAATAATAATAAATGCGGGAAGTTTCTTGAAGCAAAGTAAGAAATAGTTATTTTTTTATATTTTTTTGGTAAGTGGTGTTTTGTCCTTGTTTCTTTTGTAATTAACACATACCGTTTTTTTTTAAATAAAATAACTCGATTACATTTTTTCAGTTTTATACAGTTTTTTTTCACAATATTTTGAAAAGTAATCCCTTATCAGTCAAATTTTAAATATATTAATTTCCTGCTATGCGTTCCTGTTGTACCAACTTATTTCTTTGTAAAATAAAATAAACTACTTTGAAATTAAAATGACAGACACATCTATCACTGTCAAGGATCTTGTCGTTGGGCAAACTATAGTTTCAGTATCTGCACTAGTAAAAACTAAAATACTTAAATATTATGACAAAGCCAATATTTTAATATTATTTCAAATGCGATCGACATAAACGGCAATGGGACTGTGTAAAATACTTTGTGTCGGTTAAATGTCGGATACTTCTATTTTCTGCCGTATCGAGCGCTGCGGTCAGAATTTTTAAAATCAACAGAAATGCACCAAGCCTATAAGGTAAATCAGATTTTAGTATTGACTTCTGATATATATTTTTTGCCTGTACTCGTTTCGTATGTCCGTCAGTGTGTTTAAATATCTGATTATTATAATTACATTTATAAATTGTTATACAGGGTGAGCCTTAAATAAGTGCAAATATTTTCAGGGCTGGTAGATCTCTATGAAATAAACATATTTTCTTTTTACCGTTTCCCAAATCCAAAATAACCGAGTTATTTTAGTTTGAAAATTTCCAAAAAAGTGAATTTTTCAGAACCACTGGATCTTTTCTTGATCATTTCAGAACCACTGATCTTTCTGAACTTATTTAAAACTCACCCTGTATTGAATCTTGTGACTGAATCAGCCACATTGCGTTTTAACAAACGAAAAATATGCAATCTACAAGTTTACATTCACTTTAACACAATTATTTAATAATTTAACTAAGCGTTTGTATAACAATTTATAACGCGTAAAAACGTTTAAAACCAAAATTGTTTAATTTAAATATAATCAAACTGAAATTAAATGGGAAAAATTTATTTACCTAGCCAGACGCATGATCATGAGAGGCAGCAAACAAATGGCGTACATGGTAATGATGGATCCCAAGTATTTTTGAGTGCGTTTTTCCTTGACGACGTCAAGTTCGGACTCGTGCACTTCGTAACGAGTTCGGGAACCCTCGTATTCTCGAAAACTTTCCGGGCTGTACTGGCTGCTGCGGTCATAATCGCCACGGTTGCTTCTGGAAAGACAAGAAATAATTATATTTGCAGTAAGACAATATTTTAAGTACAATGAGTTGTTTTGTTTTGAGCTATTTTCATAACGTGACGGTACCTGTACCGGAGGCAAAGATTTTTTTTCAAAAGTCTAAGTGAAATAAGTAAACCTAGACGTTTCTAAAATAGCTGTTGTTACGATGATATTTCTTTAATTATATCTCGTTTTATGTTATATTGATATATATTCCACAGAATTAATATTTGAACACGCATATATATTATATGTATAGTAGATATTTAGGAACAAAACCTTTCACTTAAACTGCAGGAATATAATAATTACAATATTTTTATGATTTAATTTTATTATAATGAATTAGTATATAAAATTGTATATGATATGTTTGTTTACGGCGTTAATTGATTAATGTAAGAGTAGTGTACTGCTTGATGAGTAATACTGGTAACATTATCAATATATCCGCTTATGAAAATTACTTACTTACTTATTAAAATTAATTAATTGACCCGATGTCAACAAAAGTATGGTCCACGCACATTATTTAAAAGCAATTTTATATATAAACTAGCGTGTACCAGCGACTTCGTTCGCGTCGAATTAATCATTTGTAATGGTGATGATAAAGCAAAGCAAGAATTTCCATTAACATTTTTTTTTCACAATAAGGGGCCGTCCTCTGCCGGAAACACTACGACCTGTGAGGCCTATTGTGTTTGTCCCCTTTCTATATCTGCACCCATTCTCCTATCCCTGTGCCCTGCACTAACTTATGCAGGTCCTTGATAAGATGGAAGCATAGTTCCTCCGGTTCTAGCCTAGCTTTCCCAAATAAAAAGTGTCGCTTGCGATCCAGAGCCTCGCAGTGACATATTATGTGCTCCGCTGTTTCAGGATCTTTATCGCAGAGTCTGCAGCAAAGACTTCCTTGATATAGGTTGAGCTTGTTCAGGTAACACTTGACAGCCATATGTCCTGTCAAGAGGCCTGTTGTAATGCGCAATTTATTCCTGCTAAGCATTAGCAGTTCTTTTGCGGTTTTAGAGCTAGGTCCTTGCAGTGACATATTATGTGCTCCGCTGTTTCAGGATCTTTATCGCAGAGTCTGCAGCAAAGACATCCTTGATATAGGTTGAGCTTGTTCAGGTAACACTTGACAGCCATATGTCCTGTCAAGAGGCCTGTTGTAATCCGCAATTTATTCCTGCTAAGCATTAGCAGTTCTTTTGCGGTTTTAGAGCTAGGTCCTTGGATAAAAGCTTTGCTGTGGCCTTTGCTGCCGCTGTCTGTTTCTGGTGGACATTCTGCTTTTCCCTGATCCAGAGTTTTAGTGCACTACGGGTCATACATTTGGGTATTCCCAGTACTGGCTCTGGACCAAGATAAGATACCGATGATCGATTAACATACAAACTGGATAAAATTTTCTCACATTTATGTCAGCATGAGAAAAAACAATATGCGATATTATTATATAACTTGGTAATATTTGACGGGTTGTTTCATCTCGTTGGAATTTGACTTTCGAAAAAACCGTTTGCCAAAAATAAGCTTTTTACGTCAAGCAGATTAAGCAGAATCGTGGTTAAGAAATTACCCAACTTTTTGGAACACCCTGTATGATTTTTTAAAAAAATTCAAAATATGTAAAAAAACCAAATAAATTATGCTTGTCCAAGCGTTTTCCTGAAAGACTAACCGTTTTTTAAATAACAAATATTGTAATATTTGAGGGGCGTTTTTACCCTCTTGGAATTTGAGATTCGCAAAACCCCTCCTTATCGAACCTCTACACCCCACAGTCAATCCGTTCGCCAAAAATCAGCTTTAAACGTCAAGCAGTTTAAACATAATCGTGTTTACTGAATGGTCATATTTTATGAAACACCCTGTATAAATTTATAAAAAATCTTAAAATATGTAAAACAACAAAATAAAATATACGTATTTAAGAGTTTTTCCGAAAAACTCACCGGTTATTAAATAAAAAATATTTTAATATTTGAGGGATAGTTTCACCCCCTTAGAATTCGAGTTTCAAAAAAGCCCTTCTTATCGAACCTCTACACCCTAAAGTCAATCTGTTTTCCAAAAATCAGCTTTTTACGTCAAGCGCTTTAAGCAGGATCGTGATTAATCAATGACCAGATTTTTCGAAACACCCTGTATACATTTTTAAAAAATCTTAAAATAACAAAATAATATATACGTGTTTAAGCGCTTCTTCGGAAACTTGACCGTTTTTTAAATAAAAAATATTGTAATATTTGAGGGGTGGTTTCTCCCTCTTGGGAACTCGAATTTCGAAAAATCCCTTCTTATCGAACCTCTACACCCTAGAATCAACCTCTATGCCAAAATTGAGCTTCTTACGTTGAGTGGTTTGAGCAGGATCGTGATTAATCAGTATGTCAGTCACTTAAGGATTTTATATATTAATATAGATATTTTATTGTTCCTAAGATAAATTTGCAAACGATACTTTTATTAGCACCCAGGATGGTTTGATATAAATCCATTCAACTAATATTATTATGCAGAGATTGGATGTTTGTTTTTATTGTTAATCTGGGTTAACAATAAAAAACAAACAACCAATCACGGCGGGTCTCGATCAATTTCAGGAATCGTAGGAACTAATTTTTATAACACGGGTCTATTTATATTTATCGTACTATTTTCAGAAATGTTTTGCGAAATTTTTCACGGAAATATATATTTATATAATAAAATATATATATAATAAAACATTTCGGGGATATAGTAGCGGCTATCTAAAATTTTGAAAGTTAGGTTAGGTCTACGAGAAAGAAAGGTTTGGGAACCTGTGATTTAGACAATTAGCGATTTCCCAAATATTCAAAATAAATTCTTAAATGGAAAATCTCATAAGGAACTCTTTTGCACATTTGTAGTTCCATTATTGGAACTTTTAAAATTTAAACCACTCCCACACATACTAAAACCGTAATCGAGGCCGGCAATTTTAAAGCTCTCTAACGATTATTACGTCTAGGTACATGAGTCGGTCTGTGTGGTTGTGTGTGCGTATTATCTATTTCGGAACAGCTTTCTGGTTAACCCCTACAAAGTCATTTAATATGTTTTAGGCTTAATGACAAAGTTTACAAGCGAGGGAGACCAATTTAAGCTTCTAATGAGAGCCTTCATTTCAGGCACATTTTCAAATTGTTTCGTATATTATTAAATATCCATTCTTACTTAATGTAAAGCTTTTCTGACAATCATTTTAATAAACAGTATGGCTCTGATTAAATAACTAAATGGCCCATAAAGCTTATAAAACTTTAAAACTTTTATTTTTTATAAATTAAATTATTTAGCACAACCACTAAAAGACGAATGATCTACCCGTTGCGGTAAATACATACATACATATATTTGATACCAATTAAACTTTTAGATACGTAATCTAGGGCGCGATTTTTCAATTCATTGTTGCCAACCATGGACATATTCGGCGCCGGGTTGGAATTTAAACTTCTCTGGGGATTCAGGTGTTAGCTCTACTGTAAAAAATGTCAAGTTGCCACATTTATTTATTTATTTCCTGATATTGCCATTCGTTTTGATACTTGTAGTTTTGTATTGCGAGTTTTTGGTTTAAATGAATTTTGTTTTGATATTTTAAGCTTCAAAATTTTTACTAGCAGACTATGCAATCGATCATTGTTCTTTTTAGAACCTCTTTTGTGTGAAATGTACAAGATAGCTTAATAGCGGTAAAAACTCATCGCAGCTTTGTTAGAATATTTTGAAAGGAAAAGCGGTAGTAATGGCCCGTTATGTCCTTTAAGTGCTGTTAAAAAGGTGAGTTTTGTTGATGTAAATAATAACTGTTTATATATTTATAATTAATTTATTTTTGTTTCCTAAAATATTTTGACTAAAAGAAAATATGTGAAAGTGGGCAACGCTGTGCCGAACAAGCTTAATCACGTGACTAAATGTTGTATTTGATGTGAACTATAGCTTATTACAGACACACACGGAATGCAGATATTAGCCCCCCATACATCAGAAGATTTGGCCGGCGGATAAAAGCTTTGCGTTTTGGGGCAGACCAAATCTGAAAAGCATTTACAGCCGTACACTGCTTTGTGTACGAATTTTCTGTTTTTTGCCTTTAGTGGACCCAGCCTGTTACAGGCCAAATCCGCAGACTTTGAAATCTGTGATATTAGAATATCCCCCCAGAACACCAGATGATATTGCCCTGCGGATGAAATATTTGCGTTTGTCTGGCGGATCAAGCCTATCACAGTCCAAGTTCTGTGAGATTACGAAATGAATTACGTTGGCAGTTTTGTTTTCAAGTTTTTCGAAACTTTAAAACTGGCTCATATAACTTATTTTTTATAACTCTATTTTTTCAGGAAAAAAATGACATTTGTTATATTGGTATAGGACAATTAGGATTGATTGACGTTTTCAATTAATTTCGGTAACTTTTATTTTTTAAGTGGTACTCTCAGTATTTTTTTTTACTTTATTTGAAATAAATTGTATGTTTACTGTCGCAAAAATTAAATTATATAAAAAATACATTTGGCGACTCATAGCGACTACATTCTAGATTAAAATTTAAAATACCATTTTTTTTAATTGAAAATGTCGAAAGTTGACATGTCATATATAAAATTCTATTCAGAATGTCATTTTCTATCAAATAAAGTAAAAAATATCTAGAGTGCCATTTTAAAATAAAAAAGTTGTAGATATTTTCGATATTTCCGTTGTAGATATTGTTGATATTTCCGGTAAAACAGGAAGCCCAACTGTCCTGTTGATATTTCCGTCCTTTTTAAAATGTCACTGCTCCTTAAAATATTACTCTATAAGGAATAGTCACTTTGAAGTATATTTCGAGAGTAACCGGTTAACCTACCATAAAAGTGGAAAATAAACACCCCGATTGCAAGTTGCAAATATGTAATTTAAAGAAGTGGCTGGAACTACCCGAATCTTCGAATATGGCAA